AACTGGTTCTCAAATTCTGATCGATTACTTTTTGAAGTAATCGATTAGTTTCCTGAATAGTTAAAAACTATAATTTTATTTATGTAAATTTTATATATAAAATTAATTTAGAGTTCATATATGTAATTTTAATTTATGTAATATATATATATACATATATATGTAATTTATATAATATATATAATTTATTTAACATTAAAAATAATTATATTTTTATTAATTTTATAATTATAATTTTATTAAGGTTATAATTTTAAATATAATTTTTTTAACTTGATATTTATAATTTATATAATATATATATATATAATTAATAAAATAATTTATTTTTAATTTTAAGTTGATATATTTTTTTATTTATAATTATTTAATATATATTTGAAAATCTAATTGATTATTTAAAAATTAATCAATTATTTAAAAAAATAACTGATTCTCATCAAGTATGAAAAAATCAAGTATGAAAAAACTAATTGATTACTTTTTGAAATAATCAATCAGTTTTTTAAATAGTTAAAATATATATATATATATATATATATATATATATATATATATAATTTAAAAGTAACATATATGATAGTGGTTAACGTGGAGCTAGCTCTTAAAAGTGACATATATGATAGCGGTCCCACGTTAACCGCTATCTAAAAGAACTGGTTCTCAAATTCTGATCGATTACTTTTTGAAGTAATTGATTAGTTTTCGAATAGTTAAAAACTATAATTTTATTTATGTAAATTTTATATATAAAATTAATTTAGAGTTCATATATGTAATTTTAATTTATGTAATATATATATATATATATATATATATATATATATATATGTAATTATATATATATATATATATATATATATAATTTATATAATATATATAATTTATTTAACATTAAAAATAATTATATTTTTATTAATTTTATAATTATAATTTTATTAAGGTTATAATATTAAATATAATTTTTTAACTTGATATTTATAATTTATATAATATATATATATATATATATATATATAATTTAAAAATAATATTTTTTTATTTTAAGGTCATATATTTTTTTATTTATAATTACTTAATATATATTTGAAAATCTAATTGATTATTTAAAAATTAATCAATTATTTAAAAAATAACTGATTCTCATCAAGTATGAAAAAATCAATTATGAAAAAACTAATGGATAACTTTTTGAAATAATCGATTAGTTTTTTAAATAGTTAAAAATATATATATATATATATATATATATAAATTATATATATATATATATATATATATATATTACATAAATTATATATATATATATATATATATATAAATATATATATATATATATATATATATTACATAAATTAAAATTACATATATGAACTCTAAATTAATTTTATATATAAAATTTACATAAATAAAATTATAGTTTTTAACTATTCAGAAAACTAATCGATTACTTCAAAAAGTAATCGATCGAATTTGAGAACCAGTTCTTTTAGATAGCGGTTAACGTGAGACCGCTATCATATATGTCACTTTTAAGAGCGGTTCACGTTAACCGCTATCATATATGTTACTTTTAAATTATATATATATATATATATATATATATATATATATATTTTTTAACTATTTAAAAAACTGATCGATTATTTCAAAAAGTAATCAATTAGTTTTTTCATACTTGATTTTTTCATACTTGATGAGAATCAGTTATTTTTTTAAATAATTGATTAATTTTTAAATAATCAATTAGATTTTCAAATATATATTAAATAATTATAAATAAAAAAATATATTAACTTAAAATTAAAAAAAATGATTTTTAAATTATATATATATATTATATAAATTATAAATATCAAGTTAAAAAAATTCTATTTAAAATTATAACCTTAATAAAATTATAATTATAAAATTAATAAAAATATAATTATTTTTAATGTTAAATAAATTATATATATATATATATATATATATATATATATATATATATATATATATATATATATATTACATAAATTAAATTTACATATATGAACTCTAAATTAATTTTATATATAAAATTTACATAAATAAAATTATAGTTTTTAACTATTCAGAAAACTAATCGATTACTTCAAAAAGTAATCGATCGAATTTGAGAACCGGTTCTTTTAGATAGCGGTTAACGTGGGACCGCTATCATATATGTCACTTTTAAGAGCGGTTCCACGTTAACCGTTATCATATATGTTACTTTTAAATTATATATATATATATATATATATATATATATATATATATATATATATATATATTTAAACTATTTAGAAAACTAATCAATTATTTCAAAAAGTAATTGATTAGTTTTTTCATACTTGATTTTTTCATACTTGATGTGAATCAGTTATTTTTTTAAATAATTGATTAATTTTTAAATAATCAATTAGTTTTTCAAATATATATTAAATAATTATAAATAAAAAAATATATTAACTTAAAATTAATAAAATAATTATTTTTAAATTATATATATATATATATATATATATTATATCAATTATAAATATCAAGTTAAAAAAATTATATTTAAAATTATAACCTTAAAAAAATTATAATTATAAAATTAATAAAAATATAATTATTTTTAATGTTAAATAAATTATATATATTATATAAATTATATATATATATATATATATATATATATATATATTACATAAATTAAAATTACATATATGAACTCTAAATTAATTTTATATATAAAATTTACATAAATAAAAATAAAAATTATCAACTTAAAGATAAATTATATTTTAATATATATATATATATATATATATATATATATTTATTCTCTAAAGTATAACTTCTTCTTATATACATATAATTTTTAAGATTTTTATTATCCTCCTAATTTATTATTAATTTCTAAAAAAATTATAATATCAAATAAATCAAAAAATTAAAAAAAGTTTAATCATACAAATAAATTTAAATATAATATATATAATATATTTTAAAAATATTATTTTACTACTTTCAACAATAAATCTAAATATATAATTAATTTTAGAAATATACAAATCTTTTTAAATACCTAATTTAAAACTATAAATGTTAAATAAAATACTATAACATATTATATATATATATATATATATATATATATATATATATATATATATATATATTAGTTAGTTTTTTCTTAACAAAATAAAAAGAAAACTGTTCAAATCGAATTCTGAATTGTTTGTAAAAATTATAAAATCCAATTACGTTTAGGTTTCGTTTTCGGAAATCAAATTCTCATCTTAACAAAAAACTGTGCTTATCTAGGTAAATAAAACCTACAGATGTATTTCGGTAATTAAAGAATGAATACGTGCTAATGTAGAACAAATTTCGTGGAAATGAAGTAAGAAGAGAGTTTTCAATTATTTAATTTTTCCTTTTTTTTTAATTAGAAATAAGCTACCTAATTGAAATGAATGTGATGCAATTGATGTTCGAATAGTAGACAGCATATATCACGAGCGTAGGGTTTATATATATATATATATATATAAAATTCAAAGGATAAGATCAAAACCTTAACATGGCTGACATATTTGATAATTGCAAGTTAGCTTGTACGATACTCTCTCTAGTTTTAAAACAACTTTAACAACGCTAAATTTCAACTTAATTTCTCATTATTTAATAATAATTTTCTTTCTAAAACATCAATGATATCTCGATTTTAACATCTCTTATTTTTTTTGTAAGTAAGTTTTATTTAAGATAAATTCAAAATATATAATATTTTGTTGAGAAATTTATATAAATAATTTGTAAGTTTAAGATTTTATTAATTACTCTTTATTAATCATATTTTTATTACTTTAATTATATTTATAGTAAAGAAAAAATATTTTTTATTACTTTAATTATATTTATCGTAAAGAAAAAAGATACGGTATCTTTTACAAAATATATGAATTTTGGGTTGAAAATTTTATTTTTAAATATGAGTTTGTATAATTTAAGATTACATTAATTACTTTTTTTATTAAATATATTCCTATCTTTTAATTATATTAGTAAAGAAATTATCAAATTTTGATTGAAGAGATTATTAAAATAACAAAAAATAATATTTATTTTAATATGCATAACCTAATCTTAGAACATTATATATTTTAAAATGAAAGAAAATGTTTATATGAATATTTTTCTTCCAACTTCATCAAGCATCATTATTTTTTAATGACATTAATTCAATTAAATGATTCTAACTAATTTTCTTAAATAATGTGATTTTTGTTTGCTTGGAAAGAGTAAACATTAACTTTTAAATGATTATTTAAAAATCACACATGAAACGCTCTTTGATTGGTTGCAGTGTAAAAATCTCTGTACTAAATCTATATAAAAAAATGTAACTTTTATAAATAATTTCATTTGAAGTAAAAAGTAAAAAATGATTAATATATATATATATATATATATATATATATATATTTTTTTATTTACTTTTCTTTAAATCCAACATAGACTTAATAGTGATAGCATCAGAAGTTAAGCTATTCCAACAGTTATTTCTGAAATAAAGAATATCCGAATGCAAACAGTTACTATAACTTCGGTTTTGATACAACTGGAGGTGAAATGCAAACACCTAAATACATAAAAGAGGACTCAAAAAACTAAAAATTTATTGCAATTTTCAACAAATAAAATAGAATGCAGATATTGACACGAGTATGAACACAAAAAAATCACGATGTACATCACAGTAAATTCTCTATAATACCAACAGACTTAACAAGCTCCCTAGAAAAACCTCTGTCTAAATGAAATCCAATAGATCAAAACTATGAATGAAGGTTTAAAAATGGTTCTACCCCTTGATAGGAAGGAATTTTTTAAGAAGCAAGCATGCAGCATGACACATTTTTAAGCAGTTGGACTCCAACACCAAAAATGAGGCACAAGGGACAGGTTCTTTCTTAATTTGACTCTACAAGAATGTACTTAGTATTCTAGGCTATGATTTTCTTTCCTTTAACTTTATCCTTGAGGGTTCCTTTATATGGTTTTGATAAATCCAATGCATCACCTGCAGTGTGTTTCTTCCGCTTACTAATGCTAGCAGAATTACCAATGGGACCTGACCAAGCTTGGAATGATTCCTTTGAAAAGGTGTATGAGGTTGAGCCCAAAGAGATGTCAGAAGGAACAATATCTGGATCAATGTGATTAGAAGATCCCAAAGGAAAGCCAAGTTGTCCATCTTCATGCGGTGGAGGGAACTTTTCACTCTTGCTCTTAGCATTTGCATGAGTGATTAAACGCCTTCTCTGTTACACACGAAATCACAGCAGCCAATAATCAAGAACAAAGGCACCAAATATAAACTTTGATAATCAATAGAAGAATTTTTCTTTCATATACATCAACGTTGGATTGAAGCTCAGCATTGCCTTCTGGAGCAGGAGCAGCTTTTACACTGCGATCACGCATTCGATGTTTCTTTGCACCATCAGCATGAGCTTTTCCTGCAGCTCTTGATCTGGTCATTCATATTTGCAGGGAATATTGGTCAAATATAATAGGATCACCAAATTAAAACTAGCATATGTTAATCAAAATGTACAAAGGAACACTCTTTACTCTGCTGGTCCCTACAAACAAAATATATGTAATTGTATGTGTTAGTGTGTGTGTGTAAGATGAAGCAGACTCTGGTTAATCTGCTCACCGTCTCTAGTGATGTTCATCATAACATAACAATAAAGCATGGAAAACTATGGTTTGCCACCTGTATAGCTAATATAAATAAAGAGAACATGTAAATAGTTTCAGTCTCCACTTTTTGTCATAATCATTATTTGCATATCTGCAAGTCACTCAATAAAAGATATTTATAATAAGTGTCTTTTAATATTCAGATAAAATATTATTATTAACAACACCTTATATTTTTAACCTAAATGTTAATTATCTTCCTCCAACTTTTTTGTCCTAATCCACTATTTTTTAAATATATATATTTTTTAAATGTTCACATGTGTGTACATCCTCACTTCTAGTGTTCATCAAGAAAACTTGAGAGAAAAGATACCTTCTTGCTTCATCATCCCGTCGTTTAGCATCCATTTCCTTCGTTGGGGGATATTTTGGAAGACTAGAAGGATCACAAGCATAAGGTTCTGTGGTAAAGAACTGCAAAATAATAGGAAGGTTGAACAAAGTAATAAGGGTTTGATTTTAAAATATGGAAAAGTGCATCTAAATTCAACAAAATAACATCTACTTATGATTCCAGAGAAGTTTCAATTTATAAACATTTTGAAATAACATTCCTTATGGTGATCGTTTAAAACATGACATCCATTCCATCACTTTGAGACAGTTATTTACTTATTATTCAAAAGAAAACAAGACACAATGAATTGACTTTCAAGGTCAACCAGACACCACATTTTACATCAAATCAAACTTATTGATTCTATTCCAAGAAGGGATGAATTTTCTGAAGTAACAAAGCTCAAGAAAGGCACATCTTCCAGCTGATGCAGAATTACAATGTATTCCTCAGACAACATTCAAGATTTGATAGATCAGTCTACGATAAAAGAAGTTTACAACAACAATACACACTTTTTCATGTAAGATATCAGAGGCAAGAAGCTGAAGATTCATGCCCCTAAGTTTTTTCTCAACAATAGAAGCACCTACAGCATTCATTGTACTTAAGGATCATGCAGCTGTATAAAACTAGTGATGCTCACAAGTCATAGGCGCTCAAGAAGTTCAACATGTGGCTTATTTTATGTTTCATGAAAGAGTCTTGAATATGTGCCTTAGGCAATCTAAGTACACTGAGAATAGATCAGGATCCAATAGATGTCTAAGTATCATGAAATAATAATATCAATACAAAATTAGGAATTTTCAGAGTCCCACCTCACTTCTTAGAGCATCTGAGGCACTCTTTCGTTCTGCTGGATCAATTGCAAGAAGAGTCTCGATAAGGGGCAGAGCTGATGGTGGAAAATCTTTAAATGTCTCTCTTATGCATCTCTTGTATGGCTCTCGAGGTTTAAACAAGGTAGCATTAGGCATCTTCGACTTCTTCCAATACTCATCAGAAGGTGAACCACAAAGTTTGTATATCTTATGCAGTTGTTCCACCTATGTAAGTTATCAAGGAGATGATCAGAAAATATTCAATAAAGTTTACAAATAACTGGCAAATAAAATGCAAGTGATATATCCTTAATGCAATACAAATTCCCTTAAACTACATAAGAGATGGTAGTGCTAAACATAAGATGCAGTATGTCACTTAAAAAGTGTGATTCTCGGAAAACAGAATAGGGGGATGCATTTAAACAAAAAGAAATCTTGTAGAGATAATGTTTCATAGTTATCATTCTGCATTGCATAATTAGATAACTAAACCAAAATTATTATAACTATCATCATAATCACTAGTAGCGCTGCAAGAGAAAGTGTAGCTGCAACACACTGTATTCCTAACATGGTTCTGACTATCGGAATTATATCACTCATTTCAATATTCTGTTGTTTTGTAGTCAGTTAACCCTGTAACTTGTTTGTTGGGCTCTGGAGGATATGTTGGAAGCTTGGCATTTCCTTGCTAGTTTCCTCATAAGTTCTTTGGGGTAATGTATTTATGAGGCAGGTTATGTACTAGCCATTGGTTGGGATAGGGTGTTATGGGTACTTGGTTTTGTGAACAAGGCCACAGAGCTGGTACATTGCATTTATGTGCAATAGGCAATTAAATGTCATGTATCCAACTGATTATGCACAAGAGGAAAACATATTTGTAAATTGTTTTCTTTGGGTATCCGCTTATATTGATAGACTATTATCTTTGTGGGTAAAAAATCCTTACAAATGCATGTCTTGATCATCCTTCTACTTTTGAGTGAGCATTGGCTTATTTACCATTAACACACGGCCAAATAATATGCACAAACTCTGACAACCACCAGGAAAAATGTTTCCGTAACCACTTCATTCCTCCCTTGAAGTTTCATGTAAATATCTTCTTGACCAACATTCAACTCAGATATAAGAATCATGCTCCTTTATAGTATTGTAAAATTTATATCTTCTTTTTACCCAGTTTTTGCTTTCAATACTACATTACATTAAACAGCTTGAACAAGAAATATAAAGGCAAAGGTACATACACATGCACAAATAAAAAACAAAGGTTCAAAGGTTATATCAGAGAGACTGGAGTAACTAGTTACACTCTCTTCCACTGGCTTGTACATTATCTGGGCTACAATTTGATTAGTTCCAGTTTCATCAATCAAGTTTCATAGCTCAACAGAGGCATATGCAGTTGTCTATGTAGTAAAATGGTATATTAAATCATGCAGTAACTCAGTCATTGGTTGTTTATAATACTTTTTCAGTTTCTTGGTTTATTTCTCATTGATTGCTTGTCTTCATATTCATTGCAGATATGCACAATGCTGGCCTTTTAAATGGAAGTACAGTACACAAAGCTTGGAGTATAGTACAAAGGGCTTACCCTCATGAGAAGAGACGGTTGGGAGGGGGAAGGGGTTGCAATGCAATAATTAAAAGGTTCATTCATACATGCATATTATTTAGAAAGAAAAATGTTCCCTTAGGATATATAGCTTCTTTTTTACTATTTCAAAACATAAAATTTGTCGAATTATCACACTAACTTTTAGGCAGAGATTCGAGGGAAAATGAAAATTCCTACAAGTCAAAACAAGACAATTTAAGTTTTCACCTCCGTACGTCCAGGCAAAATAGGTTTCCCAGCCAATAACTCCCCTAAAATGCAACCAACACTCCAAAGGTCGATGGCCGCACCGTATTCTGTGGCACCAAGAAGCAACTCAAGAGGGCGGTACCAAAGGGTAACTACACGATTAGTCATGGGATGCCTGCGATTTGGATCAAAGAAAGATGCAAGGCCGAAGTCGGCAATTTTAAGTACTCCTTCATTGTCAATAAGAAGATTTGATCCTTTAATATCACGGTGAAGTACGTTTCGATTATGACAGTGCTCAAGTCCTGATAGCAGTTGATGCATGTAACATTTAACCTGCAGTGGGAGACACAAAGTATTTGGAGACATCAAACACAGCCAATTGAAAAGAAACCAAAGGATATCTTTTATTTCTTAGATTTATTAAGGCAAACCTGGTCTAACCTGAGGCTCTGTAAATTTAATGTCAGGGCTTGCAGCAAGTCCAGCTAAATCATGCACCATGTAATCAAACACCAGGTACAAACTCAAGGACATTCTGGATGTAACTAAACCTTCTAGCTTTATAACATTGGGGTGATGCAATCTTCGCAATATAAGAATCTCTCTGGCCATGAATTTTACGCTCTCAGGTTCCAAATTGTCAAATCGAACCTTCTTCAGTGCAACAATCTTACCCGTCAATGTGTCTTTAGCTTTGTACACATTACTATAAGTTCCTTGACCAATCTAATACAAAGGAAATTTTCAAGAAAAAGAACACAAGAATGAGAAAAACAGAATATTGCATCTCAATATGCAGACTCATAACCTTGCCCCCGAATTTATCATTCCAATAGTGCATCATGAGCTTGGACTACACTGATGGACTTCAACCACATACACACATCCCTGATATGGCATGACTCATCAAATGCATTTCCTTTTCAAGATAAATGTAGCATAAACACCCAAAAGAAAATCGATTTTTTGCCAATCAATACAAACCCACCTTATCAATTTTCTCAAATGTATCAGCCTTTCGTGGAATCCACCCACTAAGGGCTTCCCCACACACTGCTGTTAGCCAAGGTGGCCACCCAGCAGCTACTTGCTCCCCCTGCACATGTTTCGGTGGATTACTTAGCCTTGGATTTGGCTTTGATCTTCTTCTCTCACCCTTCGGCCGCCGAGCCCCATCAGCACCACCATTCTCTTCCTTCTCCTTCTCCTTCTCACCGTTCTGAGCCTCTACAACGTTTCCCTCAGCTCTGCTTGTGGACACTTCATCAACTTTCTTGCTGGACTCAACGCTCACACTCTTCTCCTCCTTCGCCTCAGAGATTATTCCCGATGACACTTCTCTGCTAATCACACACCCCATTTACTCTCCTCGAATCCAAATTTCATTCCCTTGACATGGCTCAATTATGTGAGGGTTTCTGATCACCAATCTAATCCAATAATAATAATAATAATAAAAAGTAAAACATGAGCATGATTATACGATTATAACTATTAACGAGTAACAAACATTTTACCCTTGATCAACTTGGTCATCCTACAACAATCGGTAACATCATCGATGAGAAAGCAGCAAACTAAGCATCAAGTGAGGAGAGGGAGGAATTTGGAATAAAAAGCAAAACTCATTCACGTCTTGAATGATCACTGGCCCACAAGGTGCAGGAGCACAAACATACCCAGTGATCAATTAAGAATTCAGTTGAGAAGGAGGTCAAAGGTAGCAAGATTCAGTGCGCCGTCAAAGTGATCTATCTACATACACAAAAGGAAAGTGAAAAAGTACAAATTTTTACTTTTATTAATAGTATCCCAGATAGAGGAAGCACGTGATAGGTAGAGAAAGAAAAGGGGCAAAGAAGAAAAACAGAAAAAAGAGCGTGGCGAGTTGCAGAGCGTGATGGAGAAAGAGTAATTGGAACTGGGGTTTGTATTTGTATAAAGAGAAAGAGAAAGAGGTTGTTGTCTTGTCTGAGAAGTGTGGGTACTGTTTACCTGAGTTTGTTTGTCTGGTGATGTTGTTTGGTCTTTTGTGGCTCTCTCCGAGACGAGACGAGGAATATAGAGAGGATGAGATCTTCCAGCTCTCATAAAGTCAAACCTCTCCAAATCTCTTTCTTACAACACCCATTTCATTTGTTTTCTACTTGATTCCTCTTTCCACCTTCCTAAATTGTTGCCTATTATTCTTAATTCCATTCATTTGCCCAAAGAAAACAGCATCACCGGAAAAAAAACGGATTTGAGAGACTCACGATCCAACGACTGAAATGATTGCTAACTCTTTTTTTTTTTTTCATTTTGAATTCTGTTCGTTCAGACTTATGACATGTTTGGTTGGAGCAAGATGATGATATTAGAGAATGGAATTAAGTTGATTTGTTTGACCTGATGAAAATTACAATAAATAGATAAACAGTGAATACTATTTTTTTAATATTTTTTAAAATGTATATCTATTCATTATTTATTATTACTCATTTTATTTTTATTTAAATGGATGTCAACGTTTTTGTTTGGTAAAGGAAGGACTTACATATAAAATAAATAAATAAATAAAATAGGAAGAGAGAAAGAAAGAAAAAATACATATACTTATTTTTTTTTAAATCAATGTTTTTTTTTGTGACGGCTAATCTTGTATATTGATTCTTTTTATGAATTAATTTTTTTTTAATTACTTGTTTTTATTTCTTAATTGATAAAGGATTGATTAATATTTATTGTTTTCTTTTGAAATTTAAATAATCGATCGTTATAGTTTTGATTGATTTAATGTTTTATTTTGTTAGAAACATTTATTTAGGATTTGTCGGGAGAAAGATTTTTCATCAACAATTTGTCGGGAGAAAGATATCCATATATATCACTCGTGTATTTGTTACTTAAATGTTTTGATGTATAAATAATTTTGTTATATTTTTCTTCACTTGGACAATATCTTTGTTTAAAAGTTTTAATTGTAATTTTTACATTATAACTTTGAAATAACGATGAAAATTAAATCTAAATAAAAATTCTTCTTGTATGACATGATGTAATAATGGATATATAAATTCAAAGTACATTCAAGAAGATGGATTATGGAGGACCACAACTTATAAATTATGATTATTTTATATACGTACAAATCATTTATATATATATATATATATATATATATATATATATTTATTTATATTTTTAAATTAACTATTTTGATGATAAATATTTTTTTTATATCTAAAGACTATAAATAATGTTATTTTGAAAATTCTAAATAAAATTTATGTTATTTCAAAATTTATATTATATACAGGACCGAGGAAAAAAAAGACTCGCAAGATTATTATCTTCAAAGAAAATAATTTTCTCAAATTTTAGCAGAAAAAAAAATTAATCTCCTACAAAAAAATTGTATATAAAAAAATAACATTGACATAATAATAAATTTGAACAATATTATTATAATATATATTCTAAATAAATATATAATCAATTTTAATAATTTTAATTATCGTAATAAATATTGTACATAAAGATATTAAAAAATAATTATTATATATTGTGAATGGTTATATACATCTATAATTTTAATCCATAATTTATTCCTTATATACTTTCTATAAAATAATTATATTTCATCTCATTCTAAAATTTTATTGTATACAAATATTAATCTCTTCAAAATGTTATCCTTCAAGGGGTTGATTAATAGTTTTTTTAATATTGAAACAAAAAAAGAGGGTGATAATACTTAAAGCCCACGGTGAAGCATAATAAAACGTTAATTCTAGAACTCTTCAACTTATTTGATTAATCTATACTAATTTTTTATATGATAAATGTATAAAATCATACAATATAAAAAGAATGATTCTGGTTACTTAAATAAAAAACATTTATCAGGCATGCTCTTTTTGTGTAAGAGGGATTTTTTTTCTCATTATAAAAGCTATAATCATAATATTATTTATATAAATGCTATATATTCAAGTTTTTTAATAATTAAATATTAATTTGATATTAAATTAGAACATTAAACATTATATTGTTATTTAAGTAATTTTAATAACTTTGATATTAAATTATAGGATTAAACATTATATTATTGTTTATGTTAAATGTTTAAGTAATTTTGATAACTTTGATATTAATTAAGTAAAATGTTTTTATAATTAAAATAGATAATATTTGATGCTAGGCTTTTTTTAAATGTTTCATTTATCATGAAATTAAATTTAAATCAAAATAATTAGATTAACTTCTTTATTACAACTATAAATAAAGGAATGATAATGAGCTCTGGTGAAAATTTCCGTCATTAAATTATAAAATATAATAATTTATTATAACTGAGTGTTATGTTTACGAGATATATTCTATATTTTATCAAATTTTAATAACGTCCATATAGTTGCCAAATGAAAATTGTTTAGAAAATACATTTATCGTTACTTGTTCGCTAGAAGATATTAAAGTTAAAGAATGTGTTAAATTGTTTAAATTGATATGTTAGGCAACAAGTAATTTACAAAACATGAGAAATTTATAAGTTGTGATCTTTGATAATAATAATAATAATAATAATAATAATAATAATAATAATAATAATAATAATAATAATAATAATAATAATAATAATAATAGAAGAGATATAACTTTTTATGAGTGAGACGACTATTTAAATAACACTCCACATATTTATTTAACCCTTACATATATACAACATATAGTTTGTGTGGACATATTTTTGGCACCATAACCAGGTAGACACATATAATCATAAACACGGACAGGAACATAAAAACACACATTTATAAACTTAAGAAAAAGCACAGTGAACATATGTTACTAAGTATTGATTTTGATATTTGCTTATGAGATTGTCATGCCGTTAAACTTTCTCTCAGCTTCCTTGTGATCCATCACTCCATAATCACGACGCTTCCCATCATTGAAATTGAAGCGCGGTCGTTGCGATGAAAGACTGAAGGTTGCCTTCGTTGGAGTTTGTGGCGCACTCGTCACAATCTTTTTTAGCTTTTCACTTTCATTCACCAGATTCATGCTCTTCTCATTTGGGCTTGTTGGCCCAGGACCATCATAATAGGGCTTGTTCTCATGTGCTTTGGGCACTCCGTTCCGCATTGCTGCTTGTGTCTTCAACATCTCCATGGCCTCGTCGATATCATTCATGGGCTTACTTAGTGGAGTCCCTTTTCTTGGTTTTTCGCTCCAACCTGGACTGGTTTTCGGCCCACCCTGCTTGTTGTTGGGATAGCCACCGTAATCGTTGTCGCCTCCAGCTGGGCTTCCATCTCCAATACCATATCCACTATTATAAACAGGAATCTCACTGGACTTGGGCTTGGGCCCTTCTTTGTTGTAGTCACTACCATATCCATGATCATAAACGGGACTGTCCGTGGGTTCAGGTTTGGACCTTTCTTTGTTGTTGTAGCTACCATAGTCATCATTATGTCCATTATTATGCACGGGAGAAGTACCAGTGAGCTTGGGCTTGTACCCTTCTTTTTTATTGTAGTCTCCATAGTCACCACCATTATAAACGGGAGCGAAAGTGGGCTTGGGCTTGTACCCTTCTTTGTTGTTGTAGTCTCCATAGTCACCACCATTATAAACGGGAGCGGAAGTGGGCTTGGGCTTGTACCTTTCTTTGTTGTTGTAGTCTCCAGCACCATATCCATCATTATAAAAGGGAGTGGAACTGGGCCTGGGCTTGTACCCTTCTTTGTTGTTGTAGTCTCCATAGTCAGGACCATATCCATCATTATAAACAGGAGAGACAGTGGGCTTAGGCATGGGTTTGGGTTTGGGCTTGTACCCTTCTTTGTTGTTGTAGTCTCCGTAGTCAACACCATAGCCATCATTATAAACGGGAGTGACGGTGGACTTGGGCTTGTACCCGTAGCCATGATCATAGTTGTCCTTGATGACAGGACTTGTATAACCAGCATGGTTAATGGCACCCCAAGATGGCTTACGAGGAGCATCAAGGTGGTCATAATTCTGAATGTAAGGTTTTGGGTGGGAGGAGTGGGCCCAATGAGGTGAAGAAGTGACGGGAGTGGAGTTTGGTGGATCAAGTTTACGTGGTGAGTTAGAGGCACGTGCACCATGCTTCCATTCATCATCATCACTCTCGTAGTCATAAGGCCTCCTACCAACTGGAACTATTTTTTTATTCCCAACCTTCTCATCCGAGTAACCATCACCTCTGTTTAGTTTTGGGACGAAAGGAGCGAATGGCTTTGCACCAAACCCACCTGTTTCACTTCTCACATTACTGCTTGTATTGTAGGTCGATACGGTTGCGCTTCGGTACGTGAAACCAAACAGAGCCATGATTCCTCTCTCTCTCTCTCTCTCTCTCTCTCTCTTGGATCATACACTCTTGGTTTTTAACTTTCAACTTCACTCCTTTTATATAAGAAAACAAAGATGGTGAAACTTTGCTTTTGAACCCTGTTGTCTGCAACTAAAGTAGCCAAAGACATGCATGCATGGATGCAGGAGATTCAAACTTATCGTGGTGCATAAGATAAGAGAATCATATGCCACTTTAGACGCAATTGAGACGGCTATGGTTTATTCATCTTTTTACATTGACGATAGAAAGAATCGTATTCCGTGAATAAGGTAGTGGATGGAAGCTTGAATTAATTGACTCCACTAATTGCGTTGTTTTTGTACTGTGTAAACGAACATGTTCGTGGGTGTTGGACTCCAACGTACACAGAATCAAGTAAAGCTGCCCACTAAAAAAAGGGGATGTGAACCGATTTCACTTTTAGCAAAGGCAAGAATCTATGCAAATCGATAGTTCAAATCAAAGAGTATATTTGATAGTCAAAGTCAAATTTATAAATTTTTACGGGCTAACAAAATATAAAATTTATATATTTTTGTGATAAATTTAAATTTTTTATAGGAATATAAGTTAAAAATTTATAAAAAAATTACTAGGTTTAAATAGGATCAAACCATGAAGAAGAATCGTGTAACCACCAACAAACAAGAATATAAGTTAAAAATATTTCATTGCGAAATGCAAATAAAAATGAGTTACAAAATAATAATTTGAAATTATTTGACATGACTTCAATACAAACATGGACATCTCTCTCTATACATATGAATTTTATTCCTGAACATGAATATATTTATATATATGCCGTGTGTGAAAGTAAAGAATCGAATTCCGTGTATAATTTCAGTGGTTTTTAGTGGCATGCATTGTTTTCTACCCATGTAAATGAACATGAACATGTTCGTTGATGATGGAATCCAACTTATGTAATAATCTCAACTCATTTCAGGAAAAGCAAGAATCTTCGTAAATCTTAAACAATTTACGAGTCATTTCTTTATAAAATAAATATTTATTGTTAATACATTATAATTAACCAACTTATATTTAATTTTATTTTAATAGAATGTTTTTTAAGAAACTTTGAATACTTTATTGCTTTTACTCTATTTATTTTTATAAGTTGTTTAATAAAGTAATTAACAAATTTTTTAATCAATTTATATATCACTTACATATTTTAATTAAAAAAGTTTAATAAAAAAAACATGACTAATCTTAACTTACACATACAGCATCTTCATGAATGCAATTATTTAACCATTCTATACTTCAGTGCTGGGTTGGACTCCAATATTCTCTTGCTTGGTTTCCAAAGGAGAGGGAGGGCGGAATAATCTTAAAAAGGAAAATTCATAAATCAGCTCCAAACATTACAAGTATATCCCAAAAATATGTATTAAAAATAATAATGTCAATATAAATTTGATATACAGGAATTATGTTATAAATAATAAAATTAAAATATTATAAAATTGTGTATGTATTTAATCTTCATATACAAGTATATTTGTTAAATAATTTTCTATATTATATTGTAATATATAATTTGAATGTAATATTTAGGCTTGATTATATTTTATTCTCTGTCAATTTTTTTAAAGTTTTTTCTTTTGTTTTATCTCTAAAATATAAAATCATGACTTTGAATTCCAATATTATATAATATTAATTAACTATTTATGCATTGAATACAAGATTAAATGATTATTTTAAATGTTATAATATAATATAATATCCATATGTGTTATTAAAAAAACTTTTAAGATTCGTAAAATCAATTCTATTAATCATTGGACACTAAAATTAGTAATTGAAATTTTTGGGATAAAAATCAAAGAAAAATATTTTACAGAAACAAAAAATTAAAATTTACACATTTCATAAAAACTAAAACAACTCATTCCAGATTTTATTGGGAGAGAAAAAAAATATAAAGACTAAATTTAATGGTTAATTTTTTTTCTCAATTTTTTTTGAATTTTATCTTATTATTATTTTTAAGTTTTGCTTTTTTTAATGAATCAATGTAATATTTTTGTCAATTTCGTTAAATTGTTTATGTTGTCATATTTAGTGATATGATAACGTTGATGTTGAGCTGACATAATAACGTACATGTCAACTCATCAAATTACATTATCACTAATACTTATCATCACCAGACTCATATCATCAATAAATATAATTATGTTATTGTCACATGATACTTTTTACCCAACCAAAATTAAAACTTGTCAATCTTACATAGATTTAAAAATATATTTAGTCTAACATGTATTATATAATTATTTATACGTGTAAATAACATATTTTTTATTAAATTAAAATATAATAACTAAATACCTTAAAAGGTTACGATAATCTAAAAAATATGTAACTATAAATTGGGTTAGAATAGCAAGTTCTCATTTCTGAAAAGAATAGCAACTTAAAACATCAGAACACGCCTACGATAGACTCAAAAAAAGAATCAGTGAATCATGCTGTGACAATGAATAAATGAACAAACTTTCTTCCTTGTAGCTTATTAGAGTGTACAAGAAGGCAAAACGTGTTACTTGGTATTTTCCTTAAAAGGTAAGCAATTATTCAATACGCAGTCGAGACACCACCAGGGGAAGTCTTTTTCATCCTCAGTTCCATCAAAATGGGTTATTTTTTTACTCCATGGAACTCCATTGCTTCCCTCAGTGATAAAGGAAGGAGGGGAATCATTTGAGAATTGAAATGGAGGATAAACCACTGCATTAGTCTCAGAACTTCCATCAACCTCCATTCTTCCAGGTAATAACTCCCCATTAGTAGGGGCTGCAGATCTCATTCTTTGCTTTCTTTTTCTCAACCAATTAGCCAAGAGCCCTTTCAGTGTTTCTTGACCCAAGTTAACCTGCAGAGAAAGGGAAGAGTCACAAACTGCTTCCTTATATCTAAAGAAACAAGCAAGCACCAATTTTGGTAATTTTGCTTGTTGATGGTAAATATATGCAAGCATTGAACAATGGAATTTTATGCAGAAAACTGTAGAAGCACATAATAGAATACCTTCAAGTAAATATACCTCAGTTATGTAGGACATGATACTCTGTCACGGGGACAGGTACATGGTAAAGAAATACATATTTTTCTAAAAATTAAATTATACATGTACAATTTAATATTAATTTATATTTTTATAAATATTTATTTATAGTTGCTTTTTTTGTTTGTTTTCACCTTGTAAAAATTTAAATTATAAAGGCCACATCTCAACACTAAACTCATCATTATTATATGCTATTCCCTTCTCAGTTACACATGAACTTCTTATTTTTCCCTTTCTTACGTGTATTCTTGCATTTCTTAGTGTTTACTTAACAAAGTCTCCTTTCTCTAATCAATTAACCTTTGGTCTTTTCTTCTTTCTTGGTAAAAAAAAAACAAAAAAACAGCCTTTCATATTCTTCTTTTTCTCAACATAAAACAGAGTCTTCCATTCACCTTTCTTGTCTTCTTTTCATTGCTCACAAGAACGACTGAGTTGCACCCAAAGCACTTCCCAAACGAACAGAAAGGCAGACGCGTCGCAAACTAGAACACACATCCCAGATCATAGTCAATGTCAAGCAATTTTTTTGACCCCGATATAACTTCTAATTAATGTATATAATCATGTCCATCACAATAGTAACATCAAGCATCGTTTTAGCTTGAGCAAAACCAGAGTGAAATATGAAGATCATTACAGATAAATGACAATTGTGAACCTTGTACGAAGATTTATTAGATAAGCAATTGCATTAACTTGAATAATTATTACATACAATGGTAACTTCCTAAAAATTTTAGGCTTAGATTTAATTCAGTTCCAAAAGTGATTTTATAGGATTAAGATTTTCCTCACTTCAATATATTATCTCAACACTCTCACTCATCCATGTAGAATTTCTGTTTTTTCGAATATACTTGCTCATGTCTACTAATAGAGCAAGTTATATTCTCGTAATTATGTCCATTAGGGTAATTTTTATTGGGATTATATATGTACTTATGACCTGTTATATAACTATGTTCTGCTGTATAATTCAAGCAAATAGAATTCATCATGTTCAGATTAAATTTTATTTATAACTTTTATGTATATATAAAGATTTATACGTTTTTTCCAATGTAAATCCATACCAGTTACTGATACGTCACATTTACATTATATTTATGATACATGGACTATAGTATAGGAACTAAAAGAAAAAAAAAAGGAAGGTTAAATGATGTATCAGATACGTAAACTAGATACTAATTGTTGCAATACAACCAATAACATGCCAAAGACTAGGGGCAAAATCATTATGATAAGAAATGCAAGGGAAATGCATGTAATTGGATATAGGATAAATTCATTTACCTTATCATCTTCAGGCTTGCCTACAATGTTAAGATCTGCCTTAAACATCTCAGCAGAAAAGCATTGAGGAGAGTCCAAATGTACGGACAAACATCCAAGTCTGGTATCCACCGTGAACCATGCAGGAATGTTAACCTGTGGCAGTATGGAAAAAAGATAAAAAAAAAAAAAAAAAAAAAACTAGCCAAAACTAAAAACTAATGTAACTAGAACAATTATAACTAGAGTCAAATTGATGATGATGAATATCAATACTTATACCTTCTCGAACAGGTCCTCCTTTTTCTCCTCTAATGAAACCTACATAAGTTCGTATGTAAAGCATGAGTTATATTTTGAACTAACCCATGAGCCCATTAACTATAGTTGAACTTCGAAAATTATAATTGGAATACTTAAGCTCATTCCTTACCTAACGCTGCCAGACAGATTACCAAATGAAACTAAAACCGATTCTTACCTTTCCATAGTCTTCAACTACGACACCTTTTGTAATTTCCCACAACTTCACTGAACCAGAAGTATCCTAAAAAGAGCCATTTAATAGAAGCTCAGAGCATGACAAAAAGATTAACAGAATATATGACAATATTAACATTTGTTGCATAACAACACGAACAGAAAACACCATGGTTACCTTTGTCAGGACATGCCTTCTATTATTCAAAACTTCATGTTGTACTATTGCAGGGATGCCAGGAATAGTTAAATTTGGTTGTTTATATACAGAAACCTATTGATGTTTGTAGTTTTGGACGAAAAAGGAAAACTGTTAGTGCCCCAAACAGAGAACCAAAGGAAACCTCTTTAGAAGACAGTTCCTTCATATCCCAAAAAATAAAACACTAAAGAGGGATACAAACACAAATATGTTTCACCTTTATTTATATATATGAAACTAGTATGATGTGTTCCTAGAACAATACAGCAACACTTGGTAGATAAATAACAACATAGTATGCTGGACTTTTGAGAAAGAAATATAACATACAGGGGTAGATTCTTCCGATGACACCCTTGCTTTCGAGCATGACAAATTTCCAGTTAATGAAGAATTGTCTCTTTGGAAAATCTTTTGAGGGTTGCGTCCTTCAGCGGGCCATCTGTGAACTGAAGAGTCCGTCGATGTAACCCATATGTTATCATCATTCAAAGCCAAATGAAGAATAGGATTTTCCCCAGTACACACCAAAGCACTCTCTCTTGTTTGCAAGTCTGTCAAGTATACCTAGACAAATAAAAGAAATAGGAATCAGCAAACGAGCTTCATTATTTAGGCACAATAAAGAGACATTACATATATTCAAAATCATGATATATAAAATAAAAATCTTTTAATGTTTAATGGAAAACTGCACTCACTGAATTATCTCTACCACCACTGTAAACATGACTAAATGTTGAAGTGCTGGCAAGAGCCCAAACAGAATCTGTATGCACTGCATAAGAATGCACACAACGTTGCTGACCAAGATCCCAAAGCCTATAACCAAAAGTGGAGTTTAGTCAATCATATAACAAAAAGAAATTGATTATAACACTATACAGATGCACTACCTTATCATAGAGTCAGAAGATCCTGAAATACAGAACCTGCAATAACAAATGTTATAAAAATCTTAACTGGTGGGGGGAAAATGTATTACTTAATCTTACCTAACAACTTAATGCAACGGTGTAAGATGCCTGCTATATGGAATAATAAAGAAAACCAAACAACTTTTTATTCAGTACACATTATCCATTAAATAGCAATCCACTAGGACAGTGCCAATGAAAATGCTGTAAACAATAGCTTATGTGAATAAATAATAGCTAATATTTAACAACTTTGGAAAAATAGACAATTTATTTCTCCAAATATAAACTCAGGCATGCTACTTGTGTTTGTAAACAAATACCAGGTTCATAGTAGAAGAAGTGTCTTTGAATTTGAACTTACAATCTATTCAAGTCTACAAAACTAGTTTATAAGGTGAGATTTTTCCAAACTTCATAACTTTAGTTTAAGTCATATTTTTAGTTGTTATGAGACTATACCATCACTCTTGAGGCTGCAACTAATTTGGAATCTTTAAAGAGGCCGCAACTTAGGTGAACTGGGAGTAACTGCGCTTAAGACAACTTTTCAATACACCTTACACTCAATTCAGGGTTTCTAGAGCATGACCCAACAATGGATATTGCAAATATTATAATACCATCTTAAAATTGAATTTAGATCTAATTCATCACTACAACAAGATGGAGATTATCAGCTTATAAGCCTTATTTAAGTCATATTTCCACTTGATATGAAAGTAAACTATCAGGCTTGAAGCTACAATTAAAACATTTGGAATACGAGGGACTGCAATTAAATCAACAAAGTCATAATCATTCTTTTTGCGGCCTGGAGGGGGATGGGGAAAAGAGTAGAAAAACATGTCCAATCAACAGACCTGCCAGTACTGTCTAAAAGTAAAGCCCTGATGTTATCTGTATGTCCTTTTAGCTTTGAAGTCTTTGATCCAGTTCTCGGATCCCAAACACGCACAACCTGAAAACTAAAAACATAAATAAGTAATGCTCGAGGTAAAGATAGCACCCTACTATCTAGCTAATGAATACAAACTAAACATTTTTATATCCAAAGGTAACATCAGAAGCCACACAAGTGAGAAAGCGAACAAGAATGCCATAATTTACCTTTTCTGTACCACCAGAGACAAGAATTGTTCCACCTTCATTCATTGCCAATGCATAAACAGATTCCTTATGCCCTTTGGCAACAATTGGAATGTATTCTTGAGTTTGAGCAGTGTTCGTGGATATATTATTATTGCTCGAGTTGGTGGTAGGTAAGCTTGTATTTGGTAATGAGTTCCCAAAACGATCAGTACCATTTGAATTATCATCATCCATCCTATCATTGCATTTTTCAGCTGAAGGAATTGCAACTTCAATATCCCATATAAAAACCTCCCCGCCAAGACCGCCAGAGGCAACCACGTTCTTCTAAAATTTACACTATTAAAAGATCAGAAAATGGATTTGATAAGATTCAAAATCAAACTATCTATTATATTTAAGCACATAAGACCAAAGGACTTTTCTTGGTTTGCAATTCATAAGAAGCATGAAAAGTTCATAGTACATTACATTTTTTTCAGCTGTAGCAAGGCAAGTAACATAATCTGAGTGTTTGCGGAGTGTTCTAGTACACTTTCCAGTGGACAAGACATTCCACGTCTGGCACAAATATACAACAACCATGTTACATAAAATTGGGGTGAAGAGCAAGGATAAATCACAACAAATAACAACTAAGAATCAGCAAACCTTAAGAGTTCTATCCGAAGAACATGAAACAAGAACGTTATCACCGACAAGAACAACATCATTAACCTGCAAAAATAATAAAGCTTCATTTATACCTACTTAATGGTAACTTATGCTAATGCATGTCTCATAAATTGTGTAATATCATGTTTAGCTGGTATAAAGAGTTCATCATTTCTATTCCTAATTGGTGTAATATGTAGAACTCATGGTAATGCATGTCTCATAAATTGTGTAATATCATGTTTAGCTGGTATAAAGAGTTCATCATTTCTATTCCTAATTGGTGTAATATGTAGAACTCATGGGGTCCTAGAATTAAACCAAAAGTATGTAAGAATGATCCAAGCTCAAGAAAATTGACAGATACATGGTGAAGGATGGCCTAGATTTCAAGAACTAGTAATTGGATTTTTTAGTAACTTAAAATTAGACCAGAAATAGAAAAGGGCAAGCTGTTATTTCAAAGTTCAAGAAAACAAAAATAGATGATGAAACAAAAACTAAGTAGTTCACAAATTCAATGACTATTGAAGTTGTCTTTTTTAACAAATCTCAATTATGATTTTAGATGTTAAGTACGACATAAATCGATGGGATAGATGACAATTAACCATTTAACACAAAAAAAAAAAAAAAGAGAAAAAACAATTGAAAAGTACATGTCTTATGAGGATGCTTAATAAATAACTAAATGAAATTTTGTATAAAATTCTTGAGGATGAGACATGATTTTGCACATAACATACATCGTATGAACCTTTTTAGACTATAAATTTGGTTTTTCCACTAAGTTATTTGTTTAAGTAAGAAAATTACACAGATAATTAATACAAAAAGTTAAAAAAGGAAAATAAGCATAAGATAGATAAAGATCACCCAGTCCAAATGAGATTCAAAGGTAGCAGAGCATGATGGCATATCATCAACTAATGCCCATCGATTCAGCTTGCTATCACGACTTCCAGTGAAAAGGTAATCAAACCCGTCAGATGGCGCAGACTTAAGCAGAGACAAACAATTTATGCCTGCACAATGCTGTCGAAAAGAACAAACTTTTAAGATCATATACCCAATTCATCAACCAAGGATGTTTTCAAATTTTTGAAGGCTTTTTCGTTTTAAAAAATGCATGATTGACGCGAAGATAGTATCTATTACATGTACCTATTTAAGTAAAATTCCAAGTACCTGATGAAAATGATACAGACACCAACAAACAATTGATAAAGCTTTCATTGATTACAAGGTGAAATAATGGGTATATTAAGCATCTAATGTTTAAAGATAGAGAACAATATCAATACCACCTTATTAACTAAAAAAATAACAAAATCAACTCATACAGTTGACATGTTTAAGGAAAATGTCAAAGAAACAATCTGCATGGATCAAGATTGAAGTTACAAAAAAAAAATTTATCAGTTCACCTTTGTGTCATCAGCATCATTCAACACATACGTTAATCTCTTCCCTTTCCGTGGTCGAGTTGAATTGTTTGTGTTCCCCCCATTACCAACGCGGTGCATTGCTGAAACTATGTCAGTGCATAAATCATCAATCATATAGCAAATCAACAAGTCAGTTACAAGATATGTAAAGGTAGTATACTGATTCCCTAACATTAAAAAAAATACAACTTATATGTCACCAAAAGGGATTAAAATATAAAATTTGGACCTTATTTTATAAATTATTTGGTTGGAGAATTAAAGATCAACTTGTGTGCCTCAACTAACAATACCGGAACTTATCATCATCCAGACACACTGAATTTTCAAAGTATGTCTCAGACAAACTCATCATGACGCTAATATTATCAAGTTATCAAACATAAGAAAAAAAAACAAGTTTATGTATCTACCAAATGCCAATCTTCTAGCTTCAGATTATATCCCCATTCTAGACCAAAGGAAATTTATCAACATAAAGCTAACATCATAATTTAACACTTGACAATGTGTTCACCAATCCCTGTAGTTCTTAAAAAGAAAAATAGTTTAATGTACAGAAGAACTCTGAAGTTTCAAGGGAACCATGAGCTTCCACTACAGTGCTCCATAACAGTGTATTAGGCATAATCAAGGATTTTAGAAAATAAATAAATCTAGTGCATTTAATTCTTTGCAAATGCGACTATAATCTAATAACTACATCAATCCAATACCTAATAACAAAATTTCTATTGAGCAGTGCAATGGCAGAGAGTTTTAATAGTTTAGTCTGAACAATATAACAAAACCAAATACCACATAATCAATTCAAAATCCAAACGTGTAAGTCGAAGTAGAATTTGTAGATTTATCATTAAATGATCAATAACATGAAAATACTAATCCAAAATTTATTGAACTCACCACCACTAAAGCTTTTTCCTTTTCCTAATTTTAGTCATACTCTTCCCCCTAAAACCGCTCGATTTATCAACATATCTCTTCTAAATATTCTCAATGGTTTACTAAACTTTTGCAATTCCATGCTCACAATTTGTTTTCTGTGCGATCATAATTCAACAATGTTAAACTCACTCTTTAGTCAAACCATACCTTCCCTACTGAATTCACACAAATATTAATACAAGTTAAAACTCAAACACACAGTTACCTAATAAATTACCTAAACAAAACCATAGAATAGATATCAAAATGAGTCAATAGAACACCCAAAATATCTCCTGATTACTGCACATAAAAATGAAATAATAAAAGAAACAAATTTTAGATCGTTATGCAAATTAACTAATAACCTGATCACAAGGCTAAGAACTCCAATGTGGTCTGCATATACATTCTCATAAGATGCATACATTTCAATGATGGATAAGAATGCATAATCGAAGAAATATAAAATGGAAGCGAAAGAAAAAAACGAATGAAGTATGAAGTCCCGCCTAGAGAGTTATAATTATGAATGCGTGTTACACATTGTTTTGTATTCTTCTTCAAGTTTAGAGAGTTTTGTCTCTGAGACATGAAGAAGAGAAAGTAGAGAGTGAAGAATGCATGCAAATGTAATTGGGCTTCGATTTTATTGCGGTTATTTGACTTGGTATATGCTTTTAAAACTGAGACTATAAGACTGTCACTATAAGACTGTCACCTGGTATATGCTTAGTTCAATTTTGCTGCCTAAATTATCGTCTTACCGTTTCATTTTATTAATTTATCACGTCGTTCAATTTTACAATTTTAGTTGCAACTTTTTTTTATTATTATTCGAATATGTTAAAAGGTTTAACTCTTTTCTCAATAATCACGATTTCAAATCATAAAAAACTTCTTTATAGTAAACATTAATTTGAGTTTAAATATGAAATATATTAAATTCGAATATGTATGAAATTTCAAAACCAATTCTTCAAATTAAAAATACATTATTCAAAAGAAATTAAAATATATATGTTGGATCAAATTAAAATACATTATTTAAATTTAAAATGATTATATGTTGGATCAAATTAAAAAAAATAATATATATATATATATATATTATTTTAAAATAATTTTTATCTTATTTGATCTTAATTTGAATTTAATTTTAAAAAAATGAATTTTAACTGATCATATTATTGAAGATCTCACACTTTTGCTTTTAGTCTTATACGAAAAAAAACGCTGATGGATTATGTGAAAACCGATAGCTTTGTGAAATAAGAAGATAAGGCAGGAAGAAAGGATGTCGTCGTATATCATACTATATTATTTATTATTTGCCTATTTTTTATAGATGGTGCATTTTCTTTTATAATTAATTATATTTAATGTTTAATTTATTTACTTTAGAATACAAAATTATATTTTATTCTTTTAAATAAATTTCAATCACTTTTTCAAAATACATATAATAAAATAAAACTTCTAAACATATATATATAAAAGTAATGTTCTTAGCGAGCTGAGAATATTAAATCGGTTGGTGAGTCAATTTTTGAGTCTCCAATTAAGATTGGTTCCCTGATAAGAAAATAATAAATTTGATAATAAATTATGAAATAAATTTTATTCCGTAGTTAAATTCTTTTACATACGATTGAAAAGATGATAATATAACAAAATAAAATAATGACTAAAAAATAATAACTAAAATAAAATATTATAATAAAATAAAAATAATTAATAATAATATAAAATAATATCTTAGATTTGGGTTCTAGTCACAACTATTCCATCAAAAATAACTTGATTTGTATCATATAGATACAAATAATATAATAAAAATTTAAAATCATTATATTTACCTATCATGTTTATGAATATAAAACATAATAAAATATTAAATATTATAAATATTAAATTTATATAAATAATAATAATAATAATAATAATAAACAATTAATAATTATTTATAATATTTTCACTTGAATATAGAATAAGCAAATAATATATCTCATTCAAATCTTAATAAGAATAATTTTACGGGATAAAAAATTTAACGTAGAAAAAAAAGATACATTTTTATTCAATTAAATTCATTTATTTCTCCCTCTTATGTAAATTATCGTTGAGATAAGTTTAATTTTATGAACCAAATTTCAATGAAAGTTTTGTAAACAAATCTGCTAAATTTTACATGAACACATCTTTCAAATTTGTATATTTTCATTTTCTTTTTAAGATTATGAATAAATAATAATTGTTTGAAAGTATATATTTTATTCTGTCTTCTTCAATATATAATTTTTTTTAAATTCATTAATGCATGCATTATTATTTTTCCGGAAGATATACAGCAAGTTTCTTATAGATATTGAATTATTGATCTTAATTAAACACATTCATGACGAATATCATATAATTATATATTTTTGCATGATTTAATAATGTCACTATTATGGTTTGTTTTATATATAATCGCATTGTGTTAGTTTTGAATAAATATTTTGTTTGCGAAGGATTATTGCAAGAATCTGATAAATAATTTACATATTTATAATCTTTTAAATATTTAAATAGAATAAATATAAAATTATACTACCTTTAAGATAATGAAATATACGTTATATTTTACCCTAATGTCTTTTTTATATAGTTAAAAAATTAAATTTTACAATAAAATTTACTAGGACAAGTATAGTTAATAATATTTATTAGAGCTCTTATAACACTAATATATGGTATCTAAGATAGAAAAAGTTATTCATCCTTCTCTTTAAGGTCTAAAAAAATATTTATATATGTTTAAAGACCTTACAAAAATAACAATTATGAACAAAATTATTATTTTATTTTTTTCATATAAATGCAAGAAAGAATAAAATTATTTTTTGTCATTCTTTTAACAAATATTCATTGAGATGAATATTCCAAATGTGTGTAAATTATTTTAATCCATTAAAACTTATTCAACTTGATTATGACAATATCATTTTCAATTTTAAGAGAATCATACTATTAGGTTACCACAATATTCATTACAGGTAAATTTAAACCTTCTTTTACAAAAGTTAAAATTAATTCAAAATTTAATATCAAGTATGCGACAAATCTCTAAAAATAATAAATTATATTTTATATTTCATAACTTCATTATTTTTTTCACCTTTGCACAAAAATTCACTTGTAACTAATTGATTTAATATTGAAAAACTCTTTCTTGTCAATAGAAGTTTTTTTTTTTTAAATCATTCATTTATTAATAATTTATAATAATTTTGATTTTTGATCTTTGACGTTATATATTATAAGAAAATAATAATAATAATAAATATTAATTATATTTCAATTATATATTATTTCATTCACTACATGATTAATTCATATATTTTAATTTTGTAATAATTTGATGTACTTAAATTCACTATTAGAAAACTATTTTTTTCTTCAATTTTCTTGTACAAAATTGTTTAAATTTATAAAAAAACTTATTTCTTGTAATTTTTACAAAAATATTCCAATGAAAAATGAGAACTTTTAGTAGTGATTCTTTTAAAACTAATATATTATTTATATTAAATTAATATTTTGATATTTTTATCCTTAATTATCTCATCTTACCTTTTGTCACATTTTCGTAGTTGATAATTCTTAATTTTTAAAATTAAGGAGTTATCACACCTATAAACTCATTTTTAGTATTAGAATACTCAACAAAAATATCTATTATAATTAAAACATTAGTAGCTTATACATATAACTTAGTCACTAAATTTTGCATTAATAATAATATATTTGATACCTACTAAGCTTCGTAAATAAATTATTTTTTTAATATTTAACTTACATTGTTTTATGTGAGTTCAATAATTCATTTTAATTGATTATTATTATAATTAAAATGATAAAGTAGATTAATTTATCCTAATTTAATCCATTTTATCTCTAGGCAGACAAAATGGGGTAGTACCGGATCGAATTGACTTACCATAGTCAGGATGTATTATAGAGTTCAATCTGCCTCGCCAAAAAATATTTTTTTATATAATATTTTATATTATTTTTTAAAATGTATATATTTAATTATATGAATAATTTTTAAAACTTTATTCATTAATTAATATTTTTATTAAATAAATTGAAAAATTAATATATCTATGTTAAAATATCTAATTATAATCAATAATTTAAGTTTAATAGCTATTATTTATAATTTTAATTATAATATTATAATATATATATATATATATATATTCAACAATATAAAAATATATATAATATTTTGTAATTATAATTTTAATATATAAATATTTTAAAAAGTAGATTAATCAACGCTTGAGCCATCAGTTTGTTGTGCTAAATGGGATAAACCAAAACAAGTTGATGGACTAAAACTATTAACTCGTCTTGTCAATTTTGAGGCGAGGATAGTAG